AGGAGTAAAAAAAGAAAAAAAAGGGAAAAAGAGAGTAAATAAAGTAAGAGGAAACGAAGAACGAAAGAAAGGGCGGGGGAGGGGAAGAAGTAGAATGGAAAGAAACGAAACGAGGAAAACATGGAAAAAGAGAAATGCAATGCAACCGTTATACATACGTTGTCCTCTCTTGCTAACGTATCGGGGATCCCCTCGCGAATTTTTTGGTCCGCTCCGACAAACGAGAGGATTCCGCGTAACGGCAGTTACTACACGCGGCTCCTTTTTGTATATATTTGTACAAAACGGATTTTTGGCACAATAGGTGACGAAACGGAGCGAGGGGCGAGGTCGCGCGAGATCTGAAACAATCAATGCGTTCGCGTACAGCTCAAGTTCTATTCCAGAGACGTTTCGTACTCTGTTATTGGATTCTGATTTCCGGCGGAACTTGAGGGACTTGGTAGTTTCTGTTGGTCAACGGCGCTCTTTTTTCGAATCGCACGTTGCTTCGAATACACGCGGTGAATACGCGCGATCGAAGCAGCCAGTGTAGAGGCTATCTGCGTTAGCATAAGCAAATTTATTGTAGAAGTGCAAAAAAAATTTTGATGAAAGAGAGTGAGAGAGTGCTGAGTGACTAAATACTTTGCAAAAGTGCGAACATTGATTAAACCTTTTGCTATGATAAGTGCTTCTTGATAATGACAGATCTGAGTAATTTTTATTAACTCTCTCTGTAGCAAATTGGATCGTTCACTGTTGTACGTCAAGTACTGGTTAGTATCTACAGTCCAAGAATTAAAACTTTACAAAAGTTTCGTCGAGACGAAAACTCTTGCTCTTCGTGATACATCTTGTTGTCTATGGGGAGAGAAATACGGATGCGAGCATTTAAAATGCAGTTGATAGAAACGATATAGTCAATCTCTGTGGTATTGCGTCATTTGCAAATTACATATTGTACACTCACATTTTGTAAATTTTGATTTTGTCTGCTTATTACTTTACTATTGTGCTTTGTATTGTTATTTGTAATAATTGTCAATTTCAAGGTTCTACGTTAAAGAACAGGAGCTGTAGTCAATTATAATCTTTTGCTTGCACAAGCAGACAAAATTGTGATAAACTTGTGTCTGAAACGTATCGATCAGAAAGATCATAAAAAAATATTTATATAGTACATAACAGCCTGGTATAGTACATAACAGAAAGGCAGGTTCTAGAAATACGTACACTTATTTACTATTTTTTCATAGCATATTAGAAATGTTGTATTAAATTCACAATTTTAAATAATACATTCATAGTCTGAAGTTGAAGATCTTTTTATAAGATGTGTATGGTTTTGGATGTGGCTACATTGATATCAGCGTCTTTGTTTAGTCTCTTGCCTTATATCAAGTAATACTTATAAGTATTTGACAAAAAACTGTATTTGCAACGAACTTTAATGTTAACACTAAGTGTTGTAAATTGTAAAATTTAGTGTCAGATTTAACGTTAATTTTTCTTGAATAAAGATCATCAAATACAAATTATGTACCATGTTCCAATATTTTATATTTGAACAAAGCATTGTGTAATAGTGAATAAAATAGAAAATTGTAAGGCAAGGGATTAATATTTTAATTTATAAACTCACTATATCCCTTCCATCAACTATGTAATTACATAATTGACACATTAACCGTGCTATGTAATAGCCTTCTAATTTTTCTAAACGAACAAAACACTATAAATTAATTATTTAATTGATCATTTCACACATGAAGAACGTTTGTTTCTCGCAAAAAGAAATTTATACCAGGATGTAGCAAGCAAATGTGTTGATTAATAATGTAATTTATAATTCACGTGATAGAAAGACTTGTACATACACTCTCAACGAATTATTACACGATATTTGTGTATCGTAGCAAAAGGTTTAAAGTAAATATAGGGGGAAAAGTAGCTGAAACAGAGCGAGGGATGCAAGCGAACAAGGAAGAGGAAAAAAAAAAGAAAGAGCTGAAAATTGAAAAGAGCACAATTGATCGTAGCAATATTTACAAAGGCTGTATATGATATTTTTTAGGCAGGTAGTTCCTACTTTCGATATCAAAGTTAATCGAAGCACTCGTTCAAGATAAAAAGGGTTTATTATACAAACTTACCCCGTTTTTGCAAAAATGAAAAAAAAAAAAAAAGAAAAAACAAATGTTCATAGAAAACGAAAGAACAGGAGAAAGAAGTATCACAGAAAAAAGAAAAGATACATATAGGTTCTTCACGCAGATACGACCTGTTGTTGTTGTTATTGTTGTTGTTGTTGTTATTATTATTATTATTATTATTGTATTCCATTTGTTTCTCCTCGTATTCCGCGATTTTGCGAACCTCTCTTTCTGTCTGAGCGATGCAACATTTCCATTCTTTTTTTTTTTTTTTTT